CCACTTGCTATCTTTTCTATCTTGCAGAACGTCTTTTCTGCTAGAAAGGAAAGCACATCATTTGTCCAACCAGCAGATAAGACGGCTTTCATTTTAAACATGGCACTCTAAAACCTAAGAGACAAAAAGCAAGTATGTTTGAAGAAACCGATTTGGCAGAACATATACAAAAAAGTCAAAATACACTTTTTAGTATCTGAAGCCCCATGAAAAGATTATCAGCTGGAAGAGGAAACAGACTAAGTGCAGAGAGATTTGGAAACTTTCTCCTTATATTTGTACTGACCGTTGTGAATCTGAGCATTGTGAATACTCAGCATTGGTGAACATGGTGAACATGGTGAACATCAGCTTATCATGCAGCATTTTCCATGAAGGGAAAATGTAAGCATTCTCCTCAAAATTTGTTAAGAGAAAGCAAATTTGCTGCCCTAGCTCTTAACAAATATAGGCATGATTTTGCATTTTCTACACAACTGTGACCAAAGAACAGCACTGTTCCTGTTTTAGAGGTATGAAAGAGGCAAAGCAGCGAGGAGACGGGCTCAGGACATCATAACAATATCCAAATTAAGACTTGAATTGTGTGTTTGTACCTCACTACAATCAACCTAGATTGTTTCCTGTTTGTAAAATGCCACGAGCAGCACTTACATAGTAAAAACAGCTGAAGTTAACAGCATAAAATTAGCCAAAGCAGAGAGAGGCACTATATTGCTTTTCTCCCTTGAAGACATCAGTAATAAGTCCAGACATTTTAGCGCCCAAAGCTATTTTCATCTTTGCAATTTTGAAAACGAACATAACAGCACTCTGAAATTTCCAATCCTTTGCACGCACTTCTTAGTCATCAAAGGCTCCCTTCCTGCTTGCACTCTGATTTTTTTCAGGCAGTTAACCACCACTGGCTATGGGTGGAGCTACATTTAAACAGGCTAGCTCTGGAAAGTTTAGAGAAGCAGTGAAAATACTGGCAATGTCATTTATATACTGCCAATACTCACTTCTTCCATCTGCTAGTCTGAATATTGCCTTGTGCAGTTAAAGCTCACAAGCTCACTGGAAGTATAAGAAGTCACTTCTATCATCTATGGTAAATTTCAATGTTGGTCTACTGCAAACACAAAAACCTGTAAACAAATGTTAGATTTCAACTTAATTATTCTATTTCATCACATAGCACTTAACAGAATTTTAGGGAATAAGACTAGGGTTTTATGACAAACTTTAATCCAGATTGTCTGACTTACTGGGAAACAGACAGATAATGTTTGCTTTGAAAACTACTGCTTAATTTAGCCCATGTTAAGAGCCTCAGGTGGGTCCTTGCTGGTGACAAAGCATAGAAGACTTGGGTTTTTGAGAGGATTTCGTATCGCAAGAGAAGAAACTCCTCCATGTATAAAACCGCTGAAGACTTACACAAAGCAAAGCTGAAGGTGAAGATGAACAAGGGGGAAGGAGAAGGGAAAACAGCTATGCCGGCCTGAAATTGTAATAGACGTTAACCAGGGAGGTGCCCCCTCCCCTCATTTTGGCTTTGACCCTTGGCTGAAGCCAGGACTGCTGTGACGTGAACGCTGGCAGCAGCACAGCTGCAGCTGTACCACTTCACGCCTATGGCCAGACAGACCCCATCTGCCAGGTCTAACCCAGCAGCTACAGCCTCCAGCGCTTCTCCACTGAAATTCGCACCTGCTGCACAGCACACGCTGACAATGAGCACAGAGAGTGATGTAAAGGAAAGAAAATGAACTACAGAGTTATACAAGGCCTGACAGGCAGGTACCTGCACATCCGTAAAACTCTCCTGGTTTCACGTGTTGAACAGACTGAAATCTGAGCTGAGCATCCTTCTCTGGGTTTGGTGGTTTTTTTTTCCAATAGATTTTCTTTCAGGCAAGCACAGAGATGAACCATAACTACTGTGACCAAGGTAACCCAGAACTAAAACTCCAATAAAACACATCTGGAACATGCCTAATGGGTCGCTCACCTGGTAGCCTGTTTGCCATTTTAAATAACTGTAAAGTGAGGGGGTGATCTCCCTTGCAGAACACAGGCATCTGTCCCACTCCCTCACGAATGTCTTTTCTGCTGAACAGAAGCCTGACCCAGTACTTTGTTGTTTTTCACTTTAAACAATTCAGTCACTGACAACGCAGAAATGATACACTGATCTACCTCACAACAAAAGAAAGTAAGTTAACCAGGGAAAAGTAATCTGCTTTTTCTCTTTCAGAACCTGAGACATTTCAGGCTTGGATCCATTGTCGAAACACCCGTGTAAACATCAAACCAACACACTGCACAATACCTTCCCTTTACGGCTCCTGACCCCTTCCAGAAGCCAGCTTCTACAGCAAAAAACATTTGAGGGCGTTCGCAGCTGATGAAAAGAGCTGAAAACTGTTTTCTGCCCAATGCTAAGAAGCAAATCTCACTATTGTTAATTCATGTAGCAGGGTCTTCAGCTGTCTTTTCAAAGGGGACAGACCAAACAGCCAGGAATAAACAAACCATGCTGGTTAGAGTTCTTTATGCTTTATCAGCATGGGGGACAGCGCTTGGCAGCACCCTGGCTGCCGTACAGGATCCAGAGCAGCAAAAATGAAAGCAGAAATCACTCTAGTAACTCAACTTTATCTTCTTGCAGCATTCGGATAGAGATCCTACAGTAGATATACAAAGCAGCATGGTAGCACCAAGACAAAACCAAACATGCATGGTGGAAAAAGGGTTATCACCAAAGAGGATTCTTGCCCTTTTTCATGGTCAGGCAGCCCATGCTTGATTCCAGACTGAAGGCCATCTCAGGAGATGACACAGATGTCCTGGTGTGCTGCTGTCACCCTGATCCCATAACACTGTACAGGCCAGCAAGCGCAATACTGCCTAAGTTCACACACCTCACATCCAAAAAAGGTGAAACTGAAGAGGACCATGAAATGTGTGCACTAGCACATGTCCTCCCACGTCTCCTCTGGACTCATGCTGCTGGCTCCACAGGCCTGCAGGAGGAGCAATGCATATGGGAAAACATTACGAAAACACTACGCACCAGCTCGGTACTTGGGAAGGAAGGAAAGGGGAGTGGATCCAGCCCACCAGTGCTGCCAGCACACTGCTTCATGAGCTGTAACCTGTCTGCAGGTTGCCACTGAAAGACACCGACATGCAGCACATCGCATGCGTGTTAAATTAGATTTTCACCCATAATTACAATTTCCTCCTAAAAACACTTCAGCATTAACAAGGCAGCTAAAGGGAAAACACGAACTGAGCATGAATTGGAAAAAAAAACAGAACTGATATTGCATTCATGTACATGTTATTCATAATTTTTTTTAAGTAAAATTTGTAGGACAATGGCATGTGCACTAATTACTATGAAAAAAAAAACCCCAACCCCAAAACACCTTACGGTACTAACATCTGGGAGGTAACTTTTCACATTAAGATATATTTAAAGCCATCTTCTAACATGAAAAAGGGTAGACACCCTACAAAAAGATTAAAAAAATAATAATTTTCCAGATTTGGAAAAAAAAAAGTTGGGAGAGAAAAACCCATTATTTGATTTGCTACTGTCTTGCCCCCACAGCTCTAAGAGCTTTTATTATCAATTTATACACCATAGTTGCATAACGGCAGATTTAAAATATAATCTGAAACCAATTTTAAAACAAATTTTAAAAGGATTTTAAGAGTAATTACGTAAGTTTAAAAGTGACCTAAGTCAGACAAAAAATATTACATAACCATAATTCCTCCACAACTATTTTAAGGTTTTGAAGCTTTGTAGGCTAGTATTTTCACTTTCGGATTTTGATGAAAAAAATATCTTTTAACTAATCATTTCACTAAGAATTGCCTTATAGAAAATAAACCCTAAGTTTCTCCAGAGTTTTTGGCCTATAATCTCCTAAATTAGTGCTCAGTGGAAACAGAGAAGAGTGTTGCTTAGTTTTAAGCATCACAACCATAAGGTGTTTCCAGGGAGTCTAAAACTAAGGCAATCTCCCACATCTCTGAAAAAACAATAGAGAACGAACTTATTTTGTATTGCCCAGGACCTAATTACAGAGAACATATTCTTACAACTTGCTGGCTGTATTTAAATAGTTACGTAAAAGGCAAGCACTGTGTTTCAACAATATAGCAGTATAGCTGGGAAGGACTTCCATTTTATGAACGTATTAGGCTACAAAGAAGGTTTTATTTAGTACACTTCTTAAGTCTTTTGGAACATACTCCACTGTCATCTTACCTAACAGGAAATCCATTTTGATCTAGCAACAATCTAATGCCCATGAAAGATGCCAGGTATTGCTAAAAACAAAACATCTAAGGAGGCTTTCCTTTGAAAAATGAATTACTTTTTAAGTCTTTTACACCCAAGAGGAGCTCCAGTGTCTTCCTTTCCACCTTCTCATCAGCTAGGTGGGTTTTGGAGTAAATAGGACTTCTTAATGCATCTCTGTCTCCAGCCCATCATGTTATTGAGCGCTTCGTATCAAACATATGCTGACACTGCACCACTGCCTTTCCGCATATCTGGGAGCGTCGTCAACTAAAAATATCAGTGTAAGTTTTAGCAAATACTGTTAACAACAGTGATTCTTCTCTCCCGTTACTTGCAGCAGGCGAGGCGCAGCGCTCCAGCTTCTCGCGCTAGCTGACAAAGCTGGGAACTTAAAAGCTGAAACGGAGCGCGCTGCAGGAACTGGTTTTTGAGCGTGGAAATTACCCAGCGTCTCCCATCTGTAATTCATTACGTAGCACCCGCCAGATGGAAGAAACCCCGCTCTTCGCCGAGCACCTTGCGCCCCTACGCGCTGGGGGGAAAGGGGTGGGCGGGAAAAACCCCAACACTTAGCAGCAGGGTCCTGGAACCCCACCGTGACAGGACACCAATGGTTTTGCCACTGTATTCTCCCCCCCCGCGGGTAACGCGAGGTACATATCGTGGTAAGAAGGGCGAAAGTCGCGACACTCACGAGACGTAGGCGGGGTAGCCGGAGCCG